GTGTGTGTGTGTGTGTGTGTGTGTGTGTGTGTGTGTGTGTGTGTGTGTGTGTGTGTGTGGTGTGTTGTGTGTGTGTGTGTGTGTGTGGTTGGTGGTGTTGTGTGGTGTGTGTGGTGTGTGTGTGTGTGTGTGTGTGTGTGGTGTGTGTTGAGAGAGAGAGAGAGAGAGAGAGAGAGAGAGAGAGAGAGAGAGAGAAAGAGAGAGAAAGAGAGAGAGAAGAGAGAGAGATAGAGAGAGAGAGAGAGAGAGAGAGAGAGTGAGAGAGAGAGAGAGAGAGAGAGAGAGAGAGAGAGAGAGAGAGAGAGAGAGAGAGAGAGAGAGAGAGAGAGAGAGAGAGAGAGAGAGAGAGAGAGAGAGAGAGAGAGAGAGAGAGAGAGAAGAGAGAGAGAGAGAGAGAGAGAGAGAGAGAGAGAGAGAGGAGAGAGAGAGAGAGAGAGAGAGAGAGAGAGAGAGAGAGGCAGCGGAGGCCGATGGGGAGTACACAACTAGTCAAAACCGCAATATAGATCGTGTTCATTGGAAATGGGCGGTAATGGATCATTTTGTGCGGTTCGTTGGGACGAAAATATCCATCCTTTGCGCTTAAATATACACAATGTTCTACCAGCCTGCAGCTTTGATTAAGGATATTGTAGAAGTTACTGAGAAAACGAAGGCAGCCGTTAAATTCCGCGGGTCACATTACACCAGATTAGACCCTTAGGGCATTTCGTTTCGACTCCAGGGCCGGAAGTACTTAGTTTTCCCACCGTAGCTACTTAACGCCCAGCGATAGTCGCTCCAAAATAGTTTCTCCATAAAGGTCATCAGGATGACCGTCAGAAAATCATATACTCAAGTAGAAACATGTTCCGCACATGTTGCTCACATTTCGTTCAAATATTCTGCACTTCGAATGAAGTTCGAAGTCCTCGCATCCTTATCACGGTATTGGGTGGTCGGCGGTGCGGTATAATTTTCGACGAAGCTGCCGATGCGACTGCTCGAGCGAGAGGACATAATGTTGAACGCATTCGTAAGCCGGATTTCTTAGCACTCTCGACTGGGGTAGTTTTTGGAGACGCATGTAGGTTAAGCATCGTTGAGACTCTGGCAACCATTCGAGTCCATGCCATTTTTCCTGTACTTTTCTATATTGTAATGGGAACCACATTTCAGACACATGATTTCTATTTTGGAGCACATGTACATCAGCCCTGCGTCAGTCGCATAAAATCACTGTCCATTGCTCGACGAGGCGACCATTGTTTGTGGCTGGGCGGCCTCTCCCAGGCCACTGAATCTCATCGAATTCTCCTACAAATGAAGCTAAATTTGGCGGCTCTGGCTAACTTTGTTGTTCTTGACGGCTCGATTTAGAGGCGTCATAAATTTTCTCAGAATTCCTAGATGTGCGTGGGGAGTAGTCATTTTAGGTTTGCTTCTTTCCAATTCCCGCAAGACCCATGTTAGGTTGCAGAACGTTGGAGGCTCAGTCTCTTCCTTCTCCACCCAGGCTCCCATACCGCTGGCTGGATTGTCGCCCTGTGCTGTGTTAAACTGATATCACGATATGAATCAGATGAAGGGTGAAACAGGGCCAAATTTCCCCTT